TGAAATTCGTTGATTAAAGGCACACAAAATGTAGATTTTCAGTTACCACGGACTATTAAGATAAGGAAATAACGAATCTTTGGAGGCCATTTTCTCACTAATTTTACCTCTGAAAACAGGTGACCCCCACCTCCTTCAATCGCAAATATCTCGACTTGTATTTAGGACAAATTGATATTTTTTTCATCCAAATTATAAAGACAAGTGAACAAGCTTTAAGATGATACCAATACCTCTACATGCCCAAAAATTGACGAGAGCCTGATTCCACCACGCTGCCTCACATATTATTGTTCGAACATATCGTTCATATCAGTGCATTCTTGTCGTATCTCCATTTTTAATAACAGTGAAAACAGTTCATAACAAAGAGTGAGCTTAAGAAGCAGTCACGTTTTCACTGTTAAAAAAATTGAGATACGACAAGAAATTGTTTGTTTGTTTTTGTAAAGTGTTTTACGGCGCTCGCAACTGCATAGGTCATATGAGCGCGCGGGACACCCCTAATATTATTAGTTGGTAGGAAATTTCGAATTTTGCCTACTCTTATCGATTTTAGACCACCAAGGGATCTTTAACGTGCGCAACTTGCACACGTGCCCTTCGAGATTTTTCGCCCTTGTCCGAGAAGGCTAGGTGTAGATCTTTCCTACCAGAAGATCAGGGGTGTGGCAGAAAGACAGCAGTAAGGAGGAGCCAAGGAGTAGCAGTAGAAAGGCTGCAGAAAGAGTCAGGAGCCCAGAGGAGGGGGCAAAGGAGGTGAGAGGGTGGGGGCAGAAAGTGGAAATGAAAGCAGACAACAGAACATTGCTAGAGAGCAGGAAAGGAGGTGAAAGGAGACAATTTTAGAGAAGAAAATTTTTCGGTCGCTACCCGGATTCGAACCCGGGACCTTTGAATGAGAGGCCAACACCTTAACCTGTAGGCCACGAGAGCCCCACGACAAGAAAGCATTGAGGTGGCGACACTATAACATCTTTAGTCTGGGATAAATTTCTGCGTACAGTTGAAAGAATCATCCGACATGATAATATGTTTTATTGTTGCCAGCCGTATTTTTCTCTTCGTATTGAATGTTTATTAAAATACATTGTGAAGCGTGCTTACGAAATGAGTTATTTCTCGGAATCAGACCTTAAGGAAATAGATACATCACGCTTATAGGTGAAGATTTAACAATTTGTAGGTATGAAATAAGAAAAGGCCTGTTATACATAAAGAATATGACATCAACAGAAAATCTACAAATTTGACCCTTTTGTCGATTTTTGGTCAATATCTTCATGTGGCATTGCGAGAAGCAACTCATTTTGTCAGCATGCCTCACCTATACAATTTAAATTCTGTGTATATCTACTTGTTTTTTTTTAAGAACCATTTTTGTAGAGCCAAGAAAAATCTCTCACTGGGACGATAAAGTAAACTCACCCAAAAAAGTCAAGGAACAACTTGTGTTTTCACCTGTCAAATTTAAATTTCAATATCTCACAAACCCGTTAAAATCAGTCAACCAAACTTGGTATACGCTCTGACGACTAGACGCAGTTTGCCTGTACAGCAAATTTGCCTGCACCAGCTTCACAGTGACGGCGTAGGGCATTCTGAAACACGGTTAAAAAAGAAGAAAAATGGGCTAAATTTCTCTACTTCAGCAACATTGGCATAGGGACTGTTAGCTAAAACTAAGCTTGGCTCGTGCTAAACAGATGTCTTAGCTGTGAATATTGCTCACTTACAACCCTTTATAAGCCAGCTTTTTTCAGCAATGTTTCATTACAACACGATGGTCCAACGACACTTGCTGCCTGACGTCGACTGAGGACGAGCCCTTGCCTGGCTCCAGGATGGTTCCACGTTCCCAGTCGTTTCCCATCGACTTGGGGTGTCCCCATCAGTCATATAGAGGCTGCAAGAACGATGGCGAGCGACCGGAAGGGTCAAAGGACAGGCCTCGACCAGGGCGCCATGTTTGACCAACGACAGCATCGACTGGTTCATCGTCAGACAGGCCGTGACGTCACGAACCACAACTGCAAACGGCATCAGGGACCAACTACGGTGACAACCAATGTCCACGAGAGCGAGGGCATGGTAAGGAACTGTATCCGTAGAGCCAAGTTCGTTTCTCGTGTCCCTGCCAGGGCCCATGACACACGCCGTCACACAAAGCAGCTGGCCGGGCATGGTCTGCTTGCAATTCACAGTGGACACAATGTCAATGGGACCAGGTAGTCTTCTCGGACGAATCCAGATGCAACCTACTGCACCCAGACAGGCGAGCCCACGTCTGGAGGCGCTGAGGAGAGCTGTTCCACCCTGAGTGCATCCAGCAGGTGGCGCCCTACGGTGGAGGGTCCGTTCTGGTGTAAGGAGGCTTCTCAGCTCACCACAAGACCCCCTGTACCATATACAGGGCAATTTGACCGTCGCAAGGTACAGGAAACATATCTTGCGTCCCCTTGTTGTTCCTCTCCTGCAGCAGATTAGACCCCAGGCTGTACTACAGGACGACAACGTCACGCCACATCGCGCACACATCGTGGAAGGCTTCCTGTAGCAGTGAGCTGCCACCCGCATGGACTGACCAGCTTGTCGTCCGGATTTGAACACAATAGAGAACATTTGGGATCACATTGACCGGTAGATAAGGGACAACCATCGTCCAACACAAACCTTCAACAACTCTTGGGCTGCCTCGACGTCCAGGAGTGGCAGAACCTACCGCAACAAGTTCTCCGAAGGCATGTCCTGTCCATGCGTCGACGCTGTGCCGAGTGTTTGATCAAACGGAGTGGCTACGTCCACTATTGACAATTTTCATGAAGAACTAGGGCTATTCAGACTTTTGAAATCCGACCAGTGTGACTTAAACTCATTTTACATGAACTTCTCGTTGCTGTCGAAATCTGAAACTGTACACACTTAATCTAAAGAGTCGAAAGCATCTTTTTTTTTGGAAAAGTGAATAAATTCGGTTAAACTGTTCTTCAGTTATGTTTCTTTGAATTTTTGTTCCTTGACTTTTTTGGTGCGAGTTTATAATGTTACCTTACCTTACCTTACCTTACCTTACCTTACCTTACCTTACCTTACCTTACCTTACCTTACCTTACCTGACCTTACCTTATCTGACCTTACCTTATCTTACCTTACCTTACCTTACATTACCTCATCTTATCTTACCTCATCTTATCTTATCTTATCGTATCTTATCGTATCTTATCTTATCTTATCTTATCTTATCTTATCTTATCTTATCTTATCTTATCTTATCTTATCTTATCTTATCTTATCTTATCTTATCTTATCTTATCAGTATTTGAGGTTTACCCAATTTTTTCCCCGACCAGCTGACACAGTGTAGATCATTTTTTTCTGGTCCCAACGATGTCGTTATAGAGAGGCTACCCCCCGGGGCAGTGCCACTGACTGAAGTGTCTTTAGGCCATTCCCAAAGGGGGGACATTTCAAGCATAGTAGAATTGTAAATGGGCTGACTCATGTCACGCTCATAACTGTGCCTGATCTACAACAGGGAACTGCTGCTTTTTCTTTCCTGATCCTTACTATTGTCATTTTCCTCTACTTCTTTTGTATGTTTGTCACTCTCTTGAGACCTGCTATTTCCGTGTGCCTTGATAGTCGAAGCAGACTTTGTGCTGTTGAAGCTAGAGAGGTGAGCAGTCTAAGTCTGATTCCCTGTAAGGACTTCTCTGTTGACACCCACCCCTTGGCGCTCATATGACCTTATGTAGTTGCGAGCGCGGTAAAACCCTCTACTATAAAAAAAATAGAGAGTCTGCACTGTACCCATCTTTCTTGAATAAAACTAGAGAAATTTTCTATTGACGGGGGTGCGGTTCGAAGAAAGTTTTGGATTGGAACCCACAGGGCAAGAGATCAAGGGGAAGACCTCGTGGAACCTGGAGAAGAATCACAGAAATCGATGTACTGAAAAGTGGGAAGACATGGAATGACATCAAGAGGCTAGCCCGGGACAGAGAAAGGTGGAGGCTGTTTGTCCGTGGCCTATTTAAATTCTTGCTTGTGGTTGAATGATGCATTTGATGTAAATATTGAATTTTAAGGAGAGTAATATATATAATTTATTTTTTTAGAATGTATACCAGCATGTGTTTTTACGGTCCTGTACAGCCAAGGAAAATTTCCCTCTGGAATAACAAAGTACTATCTTATCTTATATTATCTTATCTGATCTGATCTGATCTGATCTGATCTGATCTGATCTGATCTGATCTGATCTGATCTGATCTGATCTGATCTGATCTTATCTTATCTTATCTTATCTTATCTTATCTTATCTTATCTTATCTTATCTTATCTTATCTGATCTTATCTGATCTTATCTGATCTTATCTGATCTTATCTTATCTTATCTTATCTTATACCCTGGTGCAGGGTTTAAGCGAGAAAATGGCCGCCAAAGTTTGGTGATTCCAAAACCCGAGAGTCCTTGGACATTGCAAATTTACTTTTCTTTTGTGCCTTTGGTCAGCGCTTTTCAGTAAAATGCACGCAGAAATATGCTTTTAAACTGACATACCAAGTTTTGAGGGGAAAAAAAGGAAGAAAATTTTTAAAAAATTGACCAATGACCAGAAAAATGTCGGCTTCTTCGATTTCAATTCTTTGACGAGCACCTGATTTCACCACGATGTATGCCATTGTTCTTTCCATGTGGGTATTTTTTACTGTAAAAAATTCTATTATCTCTGAAAATATTCTTAAAGTTATCTTCCAAATCTTCAAACAAAGCAGTTTAGAAGTTTTGTTAATGCCTTAACCCCCCCCCCCAAAAAAAAAACCCACCCCAAAAAATAACAACAAAAACAAACAAGCAAACAAACAAAACCAAACTCAAAATCTCTACAAAAACAAACACAAATATACGGACGCGTCAGCATTGGCTGGAAAAGAGGTGAGCCAGAGAGTCTATGAGTATATTATTAAACTCACTGAGAAAGCAAACACAGACAATAACTACTAACAAGAAGACACACTCCTTCTTTATTACGTCATGTGACAACAGCAGGAACCCCACCCCCACCCCCACCCCCAACTTTTGAATCTGATGTTCACGTTTTGGAGGGAAGTGAGGGCGGCTAAAAATAGCCCTGTGCTGTAGGAATTAATTAAGCTCCACCCGTTGAAGAGCTCCCTCCCGAGCTGTAGCGGATCTTCCGGTAGCTCCGCCTTCCGTTTGCGTCTCTGCTTTGGAACTCTAGAGTGGGCCAACCACCGCTGCTGTTGTCTCTGGCGATGACCGTAGATCCATCAGGCATTGTGCCGATCATCAGATTGTAATTATTTCTTTGTACGTTGTCTCGAACTGAACTCATTTCCGACCGCAGGCCATTGAAGTCCGACATCACGGTATCCCAGGTACCCTCTCTGAAAGTACACATTAGTTTTGTTGTAAGTTCATGTATAGCTGTGGTTTAAAAAAAAAAGTTTTAGATCTAGTAGAAGTTTTGCGTCACTTGCAACACAATAACGTCATACAGGTGCCGAAGATTAAAGGTGTTACGAGAGAGTGACAAACTCAAGAAAAAAAAGAGGAGGGAGAGATTAAAAAAAAAAGAAAAGATAGACGTTTGATAAGATCCTTGATCATGACCCACATTTCCCTGAGATCCAGTAAACAAAACACGCTCATTGGTAGTGCTGGGCGGAGAGGTTCCGTATTCTTGCAAGCTAGGAATCGTAGGAATCGACTCCGAACCCAATTACTAACTTTCTAATGATGTGATTTTTTTTTTCGATGGTTACCCGGTTGGCTCCGGACATCTTCGGGATTTAGGATGGCCTTGATTTTGGAATACTACAAATAATCAACTTTAATTTTTCAAAAATAAATTCCAAAAAAAAAAAAAGAGAAGATTTTTAATAATTAAGGTAACTGGTGACCGTTGGTTTACGTAAAAAGGAGTCGACACTTTTCTTCCGTAGAATTAATCGTGGGAACCGGTTCCGGTTTCGATTCTTCGCCCAGCTCTACTCATTGGGCCCTCGTTAGAAATGTCTTGCTTAGTGCGACTACACGGCCTAATCCAGGTACTGTGTGTGCATGTGTGCGTGAGTCACAGTGAGTGTGTGTATGAAACATACCGTACTCACACACATTCAGCATTTCCTGTGAACCAACCAAACCTTACCTTTAAACTCCAGCTTCACTCATTTTCATTTCTTAGCCCCCCCCC